ATATAAGTGGTAAGGTTAAGTATTTTTCTGAATTCCTGACAGAATTCCTTCTCACACCTTAGGCCTTTCCCAAAGAACAGGCACATAAACCCCTGCAGGAACACGGCAACGCTGTAACCTTAGTATGCTAAGGCAAATTTTGAAGTGTCATACGAGGCAGGATGCTCTTAAGTCTTTTACTAGATCTAATAGGTCTATAAAATAATATAAAAGTGAACAGAAACATGCTTAATGATATAGAGTAAAATAACTTAAAATAGCAAATGTCATCCAAGTAGAAATACTTTGTTGATTGTAATAACTCTGTTTATAGCAAAAATTCAGCAGCAATGGGATGGCTAAATTCTGTGGTTTTAGGCACCAATACTGAATAATTCTGTGGGCCAGTCCAGCTCCCACTGAGATCCAGGAGTTTTTGAATGAGACTGTACAAGATCCTGGCAGATCATTTGACATTGTATGTCATTGAGATGACAGGGCCATTTCTTGCCTGCCCAAAACTGAATGGAAATTTTAAGAGAACAAAGAATACTGATCAAAATCTAGCTATACAATTGAGCGAAAGCAGATTTATAAGGAGCAGGCAGATGATGGAGTTTAGTTGTTTTTTTCTACATTAAATAAGCAACAAAACATTATTAGTATTCTGTTTTGTTTACATTTATCATTACCATATGTCAAAATTAGGAAAAAGATCCCCTTAGACAGAATGTTATTTTGAAGCAGTAGCTTTGAAATATTTTCAAATACAGAATGCTGCAATTTAACACAAACCACTGCATAATTTCAACTGTGGCATCTTAATTAATCATGCTGAAATTGGTCTTAAATAAAGCAACATACGTATATTCCATACTACACAAAAAGTAACTTTTATTTTAAAATTCCATCTTTAGTATAAATTAATATAAATCATCAATAGTCAGTAGGAATAGGCACCAAAAGCGAAAAAAAAAAAGGAATAACTATATAAATATATATATAATATGCAGCAATCGCTCAAGTCCAAAGCCCCATTAATCTTTGGCAACATTCATTGTATGCCACTGACTGGCTGTTTCAATTTTACTTTACATTTTCAAATTTCTTCACCCACATACATACAGGGCAATGGTGGTATTTTGTGAGTATCTACATGAAGTTTAATTACATGTCTCTGTCCCTCTGCAACAGCTTAAACCTAATCCCTGCACTTTTCAACAAGAGGGAAGGCTTTGTATCACTGGAGGACCGTATTCCGTGCACTTAGCAACTCTAAAGAGATTAAAATAATGTTTAGATTATTCTGCTGACAACTGCAACCTTCCATATTACAAGCATTTTGGCCAAAGACCACAGGACTGGATTTGCTATTTATCTTTTCGAGATAATTGCATAAATTTCTTAGCCCAATATTTGCACAGAATTTTTGTTTCAATAATGAGATCTTTACCTGTGTAAAATCAGAAGAGATGAGGTAAATGATCTGTACATTAACATTCTTCAAACATCCTATGAGACTCGGGGAGCTCCAACATTTGCTTATCCAAGCAAAAGCTCCTGCAGCCAACATCAATCAAACATTGTGCCATGTTTTCTGGAAAGAAATTAAGCTAGGAAAACGCCAGCTTAAAATTGCTGGTCTGGTTTGAAAACAAAAGGTTAATTTACATGTTCTTCCCTAGCAAAAAATCCAACCTCACTGCTTGGTAGTTAGGAAAAGAGTATTAAAAATAAGAGGCCAAGCATTCTACATCTGAAGAGGAATTTAAAACTAGCTATGATTTGTAGACTAGGTAGTTGCAAACAGGATTTCTGACACTATTTCATGTGCTGCTCCTTACATAAATGCTCTCATGGTTCTGAGACCGAACTGTGGCATATTGGATATGCTATTTTATTTGCTGTGAGAAATCTTTCTAGATTGCAAATACGTAATGGTGGAGTTTGCCAACCTATCCCTCCCTTCCAGAGAGGCGAGCAAATAAATTGTAATGTCATTGGTAGGGCCTCCATAAATTGTCAGATACGAAGAGCCCGATTGAATCGGTCCTTATTTGAAACACTTATTTTCAGTGTTCAGTGTTGGAAAATCAGGGGAATTTCCAAACATAACAGAAAAACAGAAAATGTATTTAAAATAATTTAGTGCTATGTTTAATGCAGATTATCAGGATTAAGATCATACTGAAAATACTCCAATCCAGAGATAGGCCCAAACTAAAATCTTACATATATAAAAAAATCTTTCAGCTGTGGGGAAGCTCAAAATGGAAGGGGATCTGCAGTGAAAGGCACCAAAATTTGTGAAAGCCCCGGAGTGCAGCGGGGCCGCGCAGCTCGTGAGCCCCACGCCGATGAAGGACGAGCGGCGCGGATGCTACGGTGTTTACCGGAGCGTTCCGGGCCGAGCCCATCGCAGGGCACGCACAGGGCTGCGGGGGAACGCGCGGCGCCCGCACGCGCCTTGCAGCCCCCAGCCGGGCACGGCGCCGCGCGGGGCCCTCCGGGACCGGGACCTGGACCGGGACCTAGACCGGGCCGGGCCGTGCAGCGGCTGCTGCGGCGGCGGCAGGAGAAGGGGGCGGGGCCTCGCGGGGGGCGGGGCCTCCCGCCGCAGTCACCCTGGCGCTCGGCGCGCCGGGGAGGAGGGAAGAAGGCCCTGCGCGGAGGGATACAGCGCGCCGTATATAGCGCGCGGCGCAGCCCGCCGCGCCAGCACTGCCCGCGCCGCGCCGCTCCGGCAGCACCGCCGCCGCCCCCGCTCGCGCACTCCG